TATTAGATTGCTTATTTACACTATTATAAAGGGTGTTTCATTAAGACGGATTATATATAATTGTGTTTCATTAAGATGGATCAAAGTCAGCAGTAAATATATCCATATTGTTGGTGAAAATTTATTAATTTCTCTATTGTATCATGTTATTTAAGTCATGGCAATTATGTATGAAAAATAATATCGCCCAAATATCCACCAAATCTGAAAGAAAAAGAAAAAATCATTAGACACTTAAATTTAATTCACATTTAAAATCGGTCCCAAGTTATTGGAACACCTTTTATAATTTATTGGAATGGTTGGCAAAACATTGGCTAATTGCCAATCAATTCAACTGATAAAATGGTAAATAAGGATTTACTTATAGTTGGTTCATATATTTTAATAATTTAGTAAATGTTTATAAATTTATGAATAAAAAATTGTTTTCATATTTACTTCTTTATAAATTGGTAAATAATAAGTATTGCATTGTATTAGTTTTAATAAAACTGTATTATTTTTTTAGAAAGTTGTAAACATAGAATGATTCTTGTAAATAAACAATCTAATAAATAAATAGTATTTAATATTTTTGTTGTAAATTCTCAAGAGCAAAAATAAATGTACAAATTCACATTTTTAGGTGTTATTCAAATTCTAATCATTGCTTCTTAAAACAAACATTGCTGAGAAGTTAAAGTATTTAAAATAAAATCAGTGTCAAGGGAAATAACTGTCCTTTTGACACTGTTTTTTTTTTTTTGGTGAGCACAAAAGTCCATGTTTGTATCAGCTCACCTGTGCCAAAACCTGTGATTTGAAATAGGCTTTTAGGTTTTATATTGGGTCATTATGGGTTAATGTTTTTAAATATAATTTTTATGACCAGCATTAGTGTGTGTGTCCGTATGTGTGTAAGAGAGATGTCTATTTTTATTATTAATCTAAAATTGTTTACTATCTTGTATGAAACAAAAATCATGCACTATCTTTAACTTCATTACCCTCAACAATAATTTGTTTTTCTTTTCATTAAATTCAAGCATGTGTGTTCATTTATTAAACATGAAAATCTTTGCTTTTGTGAATAGGACAAGTAAGTATTTTTATCTTCTCAATTTTTATTCATCGCCAAGCATGCAGTGTTTTTTTTAAATTTTTTTTTTTTTTTTGAGCACTTTAGTGATTTGCTGTGTGATTTTTGACAATCATTTTTATCAATTTTATTCAGTGAAATTGTTTTCTTTTGTCTTTTCAAGCAGCTAATTATTGTATAAGAACATATTAATTCTTTCCTTTTACTACAAATAAACCAGCGCATACACACATAAATATATATAAAAGTGTGGACACTGATGTTAAGCAATCTATAATGAAAATACAAACACTTAAATTAACATCTATTTGCCTAGATCCGTGGCAGGGACTGAACTTGCATTCTCTTTTCTTTTTTTTTTTGTCTTTGGGAAATTTTTAGCTTAATTCTGTTAACCAGGCTCATTCTTACCATTAGTCTGTAGAGGTCTTTACAGTAAAGCAAGGCTTAATTACCATCTTAAAGAAATCCATATCTCTCATAGGGATCTTCAATGTCTATATGTGCTGACTTACATTATTGTACCTGAAACATAAATAAAGTAATTAATTTATAATATTAAGAAATATATTAAAAAAATACATTAATTGCTTACACACACACACACATATATATATATATATATACATATAATTGTGTATTTGGGCAGCAGTCCCTCTTTTACACATGTTTAATTGCAGATGACTGAAAAGGCACTGCGATCAAGCTTTGTAATATATTTTTCTTGCATTCATTCAAGAGATTTCTTTTTTAGACATAAAATGTGTAAGAACTGTCCAAATGCTCTGTGGATCTGAGCACTTTTCAATAATTATTAGCCATTATCATAGATGATTTTGTGTGTAATTGAATATGTAGATTTTTTGTTTTTTATAGCAATTCTTACACATTCTGTCAACAAAAGAAATCACATTCTCGAATACAAGAAAAATATAATAAAAAGCTTAATCACAGTGACTTGTCAGTTGTCTTCAATGAAACTTTTTATATATATATATATATATATATATATATATATATATGTATGTGTGTGTGTGTGGTCTCCTTTGTAAATCACTAGTGGGTCTTAAATGCCATTTAAGATTATTGCACAAACTTTCATCACTGAATCAATCAGATCCTCATACGTTGAAACCGATGGGAGAATCCATTATATATATATATATATATATATGGTGTATCCAGTCAGCATAAATTCATTCAAACAAGTTTTGTTAAAGACAACAGACAAATGAAAGGTAGCACATCTTTTAATAAAATTCTTCGACAAAATGCATCATTTACAGCTTTTGTCTCATTATCCTCACTTTTGTTTCGGATACTATTATATAACCTACAAACCCATCTCGATAGATAGATGTATATCTTTACCTTCTCAGCAAGTAGAATCAACAACTTGAAAATAAGCAATAAATAACATCAAACTGAAAAGCTTACTTGACAAGAGTTAATAAGTTGCCGATAGACTGGGATATTTTTTCCGATTTGTAGCTTTTCCAGGTTTTCTGTATGACTCCACACTTTCTACATACACACATTTGTAAACAAACATACTTATTTTATCTAAACATTTATCATATATATTTTTTCAGCAAGATTACTCCCATGAGGCCCTACAATTTCACTGGCAGGTAATCATAAAATATCATTATTATTCATATGTACAAAAATATATTTACATATACATATTGATATTTAATACATATATTTCGTTGTTTTAGAAATACTATGATTGACAAGGATGGTTATGTTCCAATATGATCCAAATAAATTAGATTTTTAAAACTAATAATTCTGAGATGTTGTTTTACTCCCAAAATTATTCATGCAAAAATAGTAGTTGTACATCAAACCATATAATTATCAGTGTGTATTTATATATTTCCTGCCCCATCTGTAGTAGTAAGGGAGTTAAATCAACTTAAGTTAGAAAATCTATGTGCGATTACTTCCCTTAGTTATTTCAGTTATTTATATGTAGTGATATGGAAATAACTGCATTATTATTATTATTATTATTATTTCTTTTTAGCTGATAAATAATACACAGAAATCAATAAATAGTCAAATACAAATATATTTATAAAAATAGACATTCATTTTCAAATATATATAGTCCAATATCTGTCTATATCTCTGAGATGAGGTATTATGTTTACTTACATTATTTACATTATTCGAACTGTTATCCTCATCTTCATTGCCATATTCACAACAATTCTTCAGGTAGAACTCGATCAATCTACTCTGGTGGGTGAAATAAAGGGTTTGGATTAAAATTTCAATCACCTGAAGAAGGCTGGAGTATACAACGGCTGAAATGTGAATATGGCAATGAAGATGAGGGTAACAGTCTGAATAATTTAAATAATGTAAGTAATATATAGTCCAGTTTGTTAAAAATAAACAATCCAAAATAAATATTAGTATTAGCAGCTCCACTCCTACAAATCTGAAGATAGATTCTATTCTTCAAAAATACTACATTAAAACATAAAGTTGCTCATTCATGCTAATGTATAAAAAAATCAGCAAATATATGATAATGTATAAATATAATGTATTAATATTTGTAATAAAATAGTGTAATCAAAAACTATATAATAATTATCAATGTGTATTTATTTATATATTTCCTGCTCCATCTGTAGTCAGAAGGAAGGTAAATCAGTTTAAGTGATTAAGTAATTATTTCACTTAGTTGTTTTAAGAATCTATAAATATAAACTATTTATCTGCATTTAAACATAATTAGTTCCCTAGAAAAATGAACCATTTAATTAATCACTTCCTTCTCTCCCATATTTCTTTCACTTGAAGCACTCAGATATCTTCTTTTGTTAAGTGATCATCTTGTTTCAATCATGTAGTCTACTGTCGATTGCTATCTATCCTACATAACCTCATAAATTCTCTTCCTACTTTTGCTTTTTATGTTCATATCATGCATCACATTCAGTAACCATTTGTCCTTGGTGTCTACTGGGTCATTTATTTGACAAACATTCTTCTTCTATGTGCCATGTCCATTCAGGATGTGGACGATCATGGCTCTCCAAAATTTCCTGGTGCTTCATTTTACTGATATTCATATATTCTGTCTTCTTACAATTAATAGATAGAAAAAGAAAAATCACTTAGAAAATGCTTGGTCAAGCTGATATTTTTATAGAAGTTTCATTGACGGAAACCCTGTGTGAGTGAGAAGTACCATTAACACATGCAACATTGTTCAAACCCTCACATCCCATCTTTGTATAGATATAAACCCTTTCTGTGTCCAAACAATGTCGGATATGTTAATGACTCTCCTCAAAGATCAAGACAAATAGTTTATATCTGTACAATGAAGAGATTTGAGCGTTGGAACAATGTCGGATATGTTAATGACTCTCCTCAAAGATAGAAACAAATAGTTTATATCTGTACAATGAAGAGATTTGAGCGTCAGAACAATGTCGGATATGTTAATGACTCTCCTCAAAGATAGAGACAAATAGTTTATATCAGTACAATGAAGAGATTTGAGCGTTGGAACAATGTCGGATATGTTAATGACACTTATACATTTATTCTATCTTGAGAGTAATATATTAGTTCAATGTTAATGATATTCTTCATTAAAAATAAGATGAATTCATTGAAGTTTTTTTTTTTAGTTTGATTCGGATTAGTGAAAATCTTGTCTGTAAGGAAATAGTTTTAATTTCTGGAAAAACATGAAAACAACCAATGATGAAAAGGGACAAGCATTTCTTCTTATTAAACTGATATTTTTCTATGTAATAATAAAATAATTCCAAAGAATGATAATGACTTTGAAGAAATTTGTCAGTTAAAGCAATTGCAGCTTAAGAATTTCACTTCCATTAATATTGAAATGATCAAAAATAGTTTATTTCACAATTAGTTAATGGTTTATGGCCATATCATTTTGAAACACCAGTTCCCATATGATCACCAGTTAAGCAACATCAAGCCTAGTCAGTACCAAGATTGGTCACCAACTGGGAATACCAGGTGCTATGAGTTTGGATGTGTGGGTGGTGTAGTAGATAAGGGCTTAGAATTGTTAATTGGAGAGCCGAGTTTCAATTCTCATTAGGTTTGTTATATTCACATGTGCAAATACCCTTGAGAAAGGCATGAATCCACCTCTTTTCCCCCTGTTATAAGTTAATTAATAAGACTTGTACCATTAAACCATTATTATCTCTAAAAAAAAAAAATCTTACAATCTAAAAATATTTTCTGGCTTTAAATAATTCATAAATGATAGAAAATTAATGAATGAATCAGTCCTTGGAGAAGAATTATCTTCCACCCTCCAACCTCTCTTTATGTGGATAGGAAAGGAAGATAATGGTTAACTCTGAACAAAAACAGGTTAAGACTGTAATGATCAATGAAACATCCTCTTGGGAGTTTCTTCCTGCAAGCCACTGCCTTGTGGAACAAACTCCCAAGAGGATGTTTCATTGATCATTACAGTCTTAACCTGTTTTTGTTCAGAGTTAACCATTATCTTCCTTTCCTATCCACATAAACTACCCCTTAACATAATATTCTGCCGCTAGTGGCCCACGGATGCCTTGTACAGAGTGAATCCTACTGTAAAGAGAAAAAAAATCAATCAAATTAATTTTATTTGATAAAATAAAAATATATTTGTTACCTAACTGTAAAATGAGAGAATTAGTAAAATTTGACAAAAAATAGTTTTTAATTACTAGTACAAATACAATGATGTCTTTCAGAAGAATGTGATAGATCAAAATGGCTACCGCATATGAATCAGAATAAAAAACAGACAACAAGAATTCCTGCAAAAAAAAAAAAAGAATATGCTTAATTGTTCAGAGATAACATTGCCAGCCTACATGAAGAAGACTAAATGAAAAGCAGTCTAGAAATAAAAGATGCTACATCAGGAAACATATTACGCTGGCAAAGAAAGAAGCTTTATGATGTCTTCTCTTTGCTGAGAAAAGAATTACTGATCTTAATTTAGGAGTTATCCATTTTTAATGACATCAAAATGTGCAAAAATTATTTATGTTTTTAATAGTCAATTCTGCTTAGTTTAATTTGTAATTTATATAAATATAGATAGAAAAAAAGAAAACTTTGATAAGATAGTGAGGATCAAAAAGCACTACTCAGGACCGCCCAATCAGGCTTGCACCTACCTGGCCCCGGGGTTAGGGAGGTAGTACACACCAGCCCTGGCTCTATACCTAAAAACTGGTTATAATGGCTGATATGAACTTATCTAATAGTAATCCATGTTTCTAAAAATGAACTTGTTTAATTAATATAGCTTTGGGGTAAACATAAAGAGAGTTCTCTAGAGCAAGGATTTTCAACATGGGGTGTTACATAATATAAACTGGCCTAAATTATACATCCAGGTTCAGGGCCAGCTCAAGGTACTGGCACTTCAGGCAGTTGCCTGGGGTGCCATCCAGGCTGAAGGTGCCATCATGCTGCCATGTCATTTGTTTGGGATCTTCTTCCAAAACTAAAGCTTATAAAGACATACTTGCGGTAATCCATGACTCAAGACAGATTAAATTCTTTGGCTATTTGGTGTCAAAGGGGAATAACTATTAAATATCTGACTAACTTCTACTGAATAATGCCTGTTGTATTGTGGGTAGAGTTCAACTGATCCTCATACATAACAATGATCAAGTACAATGTTTCTTGAATTTTGTAATCTTTGATTGAAGGTAACATTTTCAGTATTTTCAACTGGTAGTGATTTTAATTATGGAAGATAATACCTGTAAACATCTTTTGCTTTAGAAACATAATAGTTCATAATAGTTTTTTCTGTCTGAAAAAGAAATATATTTTTTCTTTTACTAAAATATCTTTTTTATAGTCAGATGAATAAATTAGCAAAAAATTGCACACAGCAGTGATAAGTTTATACCAGGATCTAAATTTTTTAATTATACAAAAATAACTAAACTTTTCTCCATTTCTAAGGTAGATGCTAACATATATGGTCTTCTATAGAGAAAATGGCTGAGGTACTTTCATTGAAAAATTTATTTGAGTTTCCAGTAGTGCATCTTCATGATAAACCATATCCAGCACTAGTGAAAGGGTCTCAAGCACCCTCCCCAGATCTATGATATGGGTCCCCCAAACTCTATTACATCTCAATTTTCATAAGGAAGTATTAATATAAGATACAAATTTTATTGTGATCTAATCATGTACAATAATGGATCATATGCAATATAGGTGAACAATTGAACTAGAAAATTGAAAATAAATACAATGTATCTAAATATAAATTAGAGACATGTCATAATAGATCATTCCATCTTAAATAAATCAACAATTGTTTATGACTATTTTTAACAACGACTTGAGATTTTTCTTGTTAAAAGTTGAGTAATTTAACATATTCGACATTATGGATAGTGAATTTTATATAGTGTTTTTTTTTTCAGGCTTAGCATGAGCTAAACATATTCACAAACTTGGGTGAAAAATAAAAAGACCCCAGAACAATGTCTAAATCTGCAAAAGTTTTTCATCCTTTAATAGTCAGTTTTATTTAATTAGTAGTGTATATAAATGTAGGTAGAAAAAAGTAAATGTTGATAAGATAGCGAGGGTCACAAAGCACTGCCCAGGGGCCCTCAATCAGGCTTGTGAACCCACCACCCTTGCTGTGGGGGATTTTGGGGTAGTATGCACCGGCCCTGGCTATATTTCATGCATTCCACAGAAGGTTGCCCATGCCTGGTCTAGAATATACTATCATTGGATCTTAAGTAATATACTTTAAAGGAATATTCAGCATATAGCTTCTTCTGTATATATGACAAGCTTATCAAATATATGACAAGCAATCAATCCTCCTTTCTCACTGTCTTTTATCTCTCTGTTATCTACCTTTCTATATAAACATTCTATATGTACTTTGAAATGTGTTTTTCCAAGATGATGATGAACAATGATCAAAGAGAACGGTATATCCTTTGCAACGACGACTACAATTCCACAGAAAATCTTCTTTGGTACAACGGACATTCCACAAGAGTACATTCCACTTGGGTACATTCCACAGGGATACATTCCACAGGGATACATTCCACAGGGATTTATACCAGGTTCTCTGGACTTGTAAGTAATTCTAATTGCTTTGAAACATCAACAGGAAAGTGAACAGATTTTAAATTTCACTGAAACTACACCTCAAGTTCCAAGAGGTCCAATGTGAATATCTTCTCTTCTGACCAACCAATCTGAAATGATCCCTTTTGTAAAAATCGTACTTACTAACCTCCCAAGATTCCTTGATATTAGTTCTTCATAGGGTATGATTAAAATGTATATATATATACTTTGAAATATAGGTATTGTTTATACTTATGGGAATACAAATGCTATCTGCATTTAATAAAATGTAAAACGAGCTAACATTAATGTTTTGCATCAAAGTAATTCAATGATAATCCAATAATGATGGCTGCAAAGAATGGACCTTAGAAACGTCATGTGCCTATTTATGAATAAAAATAAGTGGACAGACTTATATTCTTGTGCCCACAAAAACAACAGTGTCAAAAGGACTTTTTTTCCCTTGATACCATTATTATTTTAACTACTTTCACTCCTCAGTAATGTTTATCATTTTTAAAAATTCTAATGAAACCTAAATGTAGGATGAAAGTGAATTTTACATTTTCTTTGTTCTTGAGAATTTGCAACAAAAATATTAAACACTATTCATTTATTAGATTGTTTAATTATAAGGATAATTTTTATATTTACAACATTCTAAAATGTAATATAGGGTGACCCCAAAAAACGGGAACTTTTAAACAATCCAATAAAAGCAAGAGTGATGGAAAAAATATTTTATTCATAGTAATTGAAACCTTAAAACATGCCATTTATGAAAAAATGATGGAATTTTCATTTTTTAAAAATTACGTCCTGTAGATGGCATCTTCCTGTACGAATGCATTCTTGAAATCTGCTGTTGAGATTCCTCATTGACTGCTGCAACATCTCAGTTGGGATACAGTGAATTTCATCTTGAATTAGAAATGGCAAAATGTTTACTTGCCCAAGGTCACTGTCTTGCAGTGTTGCCTCTTGCTCATGTCTGGCAATACGCACTTCAAAAATTCCCATTTTATTTGGTCACCCTGTACAATTAGAACTAATGCAATGCAATATTTATTATTTACCAATTTATAAAGAAATAAATATGAAAACAATTTTTTATTCATAGATTTATAAACATTTACTAAATTATTAAAATATGTGAACCAACTATAAGGAAATCCGTATTATTTACCATTTTATAAAGTTTGAATCAATTGGTAATTAGTCAATGTTTTCACAACCATTCCAATAAACAATCTAATAAATAAATAATGCTTATTATATTTATTGCTAATTCTCAAGAACCAAAAAAATGTATAAATTTACTTTCATATGTTTAAGTTTTATTACAATTCTAATCATCACTTATTAAAACAAACATTACCAAGGGATGAAGGTAGTTAAAATAATAGCAGTGTCAAGGGAAAAACAGTGATTTTTGACACTCCATTTTTTTTTGCAGGCATTAAGATCCAATTATGCCAATATATTAGCATAGAATTTTTAAAAATATGATTAATTTTCTTTTTTTTTTTTTTTTAGTTATTTCAAACTATTTTTCTCTCTGTATTAATAGGTTACATTTTTATTCATATTTAATTTTACGACGAATATTATAATGATAGAAAATACAGTTTTAACATCAGAAATACATAAATGAAAATTGCACAGAATGATCATTTTTCTAAAATTACGATAAATTTATGTGAATTATACATTGTGGTTTACATATAGAAATCTTAAGAGACTATATATTGCATGCTAGAAGTCTTTTAAGCAGCAGAAATACCGAAAAATTCATTTTTGAAAGTAACTGAAGTGCAAAAGATTTTGAGACTGCTACTTAAAACAAAAATAACTCCTTTCTTTTATTTGAATAAAAGAAACT